CTCTCTCACACACACTCACTCTCTCTCTCTCTCACACACACTCACTCTCTCACCCAAACACCCACACACTCTCCCTCCCTCCCACACACCCACACACACACACACACACACACACACACACACACATGCTATGGCTCAGATCCTTCAGCTGCTTATTTGGACTGTAGAGTCTAGCGTTGATTCCTCATGAGGACCGTCTGTGACGTGCTGCTCCTCGCTTTAATTAGGGTTGTCACACCAGGAAAATTTCAGTTCTCTATATTAATACCAGTGGAATTTCACTATTCACAATACAATTTTTGAGCAAAAAAAAAAAAATTACAAATAAAAAAAATCACAGCAAATGTTAATATTGACTGTGAATATTACTTTATTTAAAATGCTAAATATTAATATAAATATGAACAAATTAGGTTCAAAACAGTTCTCAAGATTTCTTAATGATTTTTAATGTTTCTGCTCGACAAGGCTGCATTTATTTGATCACAAAATACAGTAAAAACAGTAATATTCTGAAATATTACAATTTAAAAGAAGTGTTTTCTATGTGGATGTGCGTTAAAATGTAATTTATTGTGATCAAAGCTGTATTTTCAGCCTCATTACTCCACTCTTCAGTGTCACATTATCTTCATTATCTTGCTGCTCAACAAACATTTCTGATTATTATCAATGTTGAAAACGCTTGTGCTGCTTCATATTTTTGTGGAAACCGTATAAAGAACAGCATTAAAAAATACTCGAACGTTAGTGTAGGTAAATATCAAAATAGTATTTTTATACGAAATTTAAAATCACTATTAATTAAATATGTATTTATTTATTTTTTTAGTATCAAAGCACTTTTGACACCCCTACTGCTGATTGATCTTTCTCAGCATGACTGTCCGCTGCTTCATTTAGATGTCCTTTTCTTGCGTTATTTTCCTGTTTTGCAGAAAACCCAGAGTGGGGAGGGTTAAAAGCCGAAAGAGAGCGAGAGAGGGAGATTCGGGCGATCTCAGCGCCTCGGCTCACCTGCGCTCAAGCAGTATTTTGCTCTCAGTCATTGGCTTTATTTCAGGACAGATTGTTTGCTCTTTGTAATCGCACTTGTCCTGTCGGCTTAAAGCCTGCATTTATTTGTACTCAAATTCACACTGTTGGCCCAAGAATGCAACCAAAGGTAAATAAACAGAAGTTGCATGGCTGTCTCTGTCATTATCGTACTAATGTGCCACCACACATCTGGGATGACAACATGCTCATGTGTTCCCTCACCCGTATTTCAGCCCCATTGATGTTTCTGACAACAGCATCTTGAATCTCTTTCTTTGTAGACGGGCTCGTCTTTACTACACTGAAAACAGTGAAATGACTGTCATTTATTTAAAGTGCATTTTTATATTGATCTAATTGAAAATCTGGTTTAAACCTCTTTGTTCAGTCTAAGGCAAATAACACTTCCCATAGAAATAAAAAATAGAAGAAAGAAAGAAAAGAAAGAAACAATAAAAATAGTATTTTGTGTGAGTTAATGTACAGAGCACATACAGACTATATTTTAAATTTTATTTATTAATACAATTTAAAATTAAATTTAAAATGACATCACAATAAAAATCAAGGTCTTTCAAAGTTCCCTTTATATTAAGTAAACTAAATTAAACATTGACTAACAAAATGTTTTTAGATTTATCGCAAGTGAAAATTTTACTTTCATATTACAGCTGATTTTGCTTTTTGTTTATTATGTTTTATTATATTGACCTACATTAAGTAACATTTTGGCTTATGTCTAAAGATAGTATATTGATTAAGTATGTTATGGTCTTTATAATAAATACTTTAATTTGTGTGAATGTTTTTGTGTTTGGGGTAATAAACATATTTTTTTATTTATATTAAATCAAATTTTAAATAAATACAGTTTGAGAAAAAATAATAAATGTGCCTGTAACATTAGTATTTGTTAGTGCAAAGCTTTTTTTTATTCAGTGTTGGTGCAATTACAATTAAGAAATTCAAATTTTACAACAGATAATGTGTCTATGAAACCATTCTAGAAACGATTCAAAATTGTGCTTCTAAACTGAGTCAAGTTTCTGTAGTTGAACAAACCACTTTAGCAGACTTTGCTTTAGCTTCATGCTGCTTTCATTCGTGTACTAGTGAATGTGTGTATGTGAATGCAGTTGTCAGTCCAATAGCTGTTCCTGTCTGATTTCAGTGTTGCAGCTAATCACCGTGTCTCATGTGTGCTCACTGATGAATGAATGAGGTCATAATTCACTCTCATCACACACAATCTGCCACTAATGCGACCCATCTTCAAAACGAAGTAAAAAAGGACCCACATTTATGCAATGAATAGAGGTGGTGTGTGATGGTGAGGTGCATGAGTGTGTGTGTGTGTCTCCAGCTCTCTGCCCAAATCACTAGTGTTTAGATGTCTCTCTGTCTCTCCCTTCTGCTTCCCTTGCAGCCACTGTGAGCCTTGCTCAGAGAGAAGAAAGCGCTTGTATGTGCAGGACCCCCTCACCTGTAAATGTTCCTGCAAATTCACACAATTGCAATGCAAGGCCAGACAACTTGAGTTAAATGAAAGAACTTGCAGGTTTGTTTATGAACTGTCACCACGTGCAACATGCATCTTCTCATCCAGTCCCATCTGAAGCTCTGAAATATGCATGCTTATAGCGCTTATTGCATTTTCCCTTCTATATATGCATGTTGACGTAGTGTGTGTGTGTGTGTGTGTGTATGTGGAGTATTTGCCATGAGATACAACATTTGATGTCAGAATCTGGTGCATTACCGCTGTGCACTTACAATGACATGTTTTGTAGCGCCAACACTTTGACGTTGAGCATAGAAATTATTAATAGTGTACATGAACTGACTTTGCTGGTATTCTGTCAGCAAGCAATATGATTTTGTGTTTTTGAGTATAAACAAGCAGGGATGCTGCATATGTGTGTGCTTGTGAAGTGCAACTCACACATCCTTTTATTAGTAATTCTTTTTTCATCTTGTCATTTTATGTTCATAATGGGTCAGAATTCAGTTTGGTATTATTGATTTTGCCATCACGTGTGAAAATCATTTAATTAGCTGTTCATGTTTCAGATACCTAATATGAGATTTTTTTAAATTATGTATGTGAATATATAAGTGTGTCCATGCGGCTTGCTTCTCATCAACTGTCACACGAATTTAAACTGTGTGATCATATGTTAGCATTCTGTATATGTTGTCCAAATGTTATTGTTATGTTTTGTGGAGATCACAGCATACTTTGATCCTGTGGTCATTGCACCCTAACCACATTTTAACCCATCCAAATGTCCAACCTCTGAACATTTTTACATAATTACATAACCACAAAACAAGTAAACGAAGACGCTGCTTGGCGTGTGAATGGGATATATTTCAGTGTCACTTCACCTGGGCCTGTGATTGGACAGAACGCAGTGAGGTAAAGCTTCACTGGATCGGCCCGCTGTGGATTCATATTTAAAAACTCAGAACGAATGTCCAAGACTTCACTGAGAGGTGCAAAAGACAACCTCCAACCCTTTATATGAATAGTTACAGACTGAGAGGAAGTGACATAATAGCGATTCTTTCTGGGTCCAGGCATGGGATACAAATGCGGAACTATCTCTTTCTGTGATGTCTTACTAGGTTACATACCCTACCTTTAAGACTAGTCGCTGTAAAACAATAAAGACAATGCCTATATTATCACATATTCCATATTCCTTTTTATGAAAAAAATCAGATGTAGCTAAAAAAACAATAGGCTAAAATGTCACTTTCACTTAGGATATTGAGATGGAAAATACATGGAAATTACATGTAAACCATGACTGTGCTCACATGATAATTGATCTTTTTTTCTTAATTTTTTTTCCTCAAAGCTCTGTGGAGCCTTACCATCATTTACACACCCCCAGGTCATTCTGACCCGGTGTATTTTTCTTCTGTGAAAAATACAGTATTGTTCAAACATTTGTTTTTTAATTATTATTTATTTTTTTATGCTTTTTTTTTTTT